TTTATTTTCTCAGTGATGGGGGGAGGGGGCTTTCTGGCCCCTCCTTTTTTTAATATCTAATATTTTTACATGCTGCTAGTGAGAGAACCTGTTGTTAAAATATTTGAATCCCATCACTGTCATTAGCAAAAGTACTATTAATCCTTATATACACATTATTCACATACCTAAATACGGTAAAGTAAAACGGGCCCAAACTCTATATATAGTTGTACAGAAAACTGTCATTACTTTATGTAATTGATTTTTTGGTCCAGTTTGTCTAGCGTACAAACCAATTGTTGAGTCGGTGGTCATTATTATTTCTTGTAGTTGATTTTATGAGCTTTGCCCAAGTTGTCTAACGTACAGATAATGGTTATTACTTGATGTTTTCTGCCGTGTTCAGTAGCGTACAGACCAGTTGTAATAGTGGTTATTACAACTTATAGTTATTTTTTTTTTAGTCTTGTTTGCCTAGCGTAAGACCAGCTGTACAGATAGTGTTTATTTTATAGTGTACTTCATTTTAAGGGCATTGCCCAAATTGTCTAGCGTGCAGACAGTTGTCTGAAAGTGGTTATTACTTAGTGCAGTTGATTTTAAAGACCTTGTCCAAGTTGGCTAGCATGTTGATAGTTTGCTTAAAGTTCTCTCTCTAGAGACATGGGTATATTAATTTGATCTGTAACTTGTTTCTCTATTTGCCATTTTTCAACAGCTAACAACTGTGATTCTCTGTACTTTCATCAAATATTAAAATTGAAGCAAATTCTGGAACAAAATATAAATGTTTTAGAAGTATTATATTGAAATGATCATTATAGCTTTAAATAGCACGAAAAAACAGAAAATAATGAAAAGTTCTAAGGTATAGGGTGTTCTATTTTCCATTACCGAGAATGACGGGTTTTCTTTAATACATTATATGATTTTTTCTTTTACTAGTGTGAGCTACAGCCTTCTTTATTAAAAATATATGCTCTTTCATTTATGATTTATATATTGTACGGATTTCATGTTTCCACTAGGAAAGGTAAAATAATTGTATTCAGTACAACAGTATCTGCAATATTAGCTCTACTGAAAAGTAAATAATAATTGCCATCATTGTTTGGTTGTAAGGGTGAATTCATCTCTTCTATATCGTTATGTAAGGGTTTAGCAGGGAAAAGTAAAGAAAAAATCCCGATCTTTTCAGTGACATATTTCATATCATAGGAAACACAAACTTAAGATGTATAACAAAACGATTACGAGTGTGGCCTGTATTTCGAACTTTAATGCCTGATAACGAACTTGTTTTCCAGTGTATGGGGATAGCAGAAGTTCTAAATAAAATCCTGTATGTAGAAGTTTTTAAGATGGAATGAGAGCATTTCAAAACGTCCAATAAACATGTTATTCATTACTTTTGTAAGCGTGCTATTCTTCATCAGATATAATAATTAGATAAACATATTGTATAATGATATATTTTGAGTGAATGGACTTTAGCTTAATGCCTTTAGCAACAGGTACTTATATTAAACGTTTTTAACATTTTTACCTTTATTTACGCTTCATGGTTTTTTCATTCTTAACGTTGAAAAAAATTATAGCTAAATTCATTATCAGTGTTTATTTTCATATATTTTAAACGTTTGAGCTATTTAACCATAATATATGTATGATATTGCAGAATCAGGTGTCAGAAAAAATGGAATAACCCAACTTATAAGCAGATGGCGCCACCTTTTCAAAAAGTTGAAACGAAAACAAAGAAGAAGTGTTAAAGAAGGTAAGAATTGACTGTCATCAACTTTCTGTTCATGTGTTTAATTTCAGCAAATGAAGCTTCAGTCTGATTGTATAATACTTCGTTAAACTTTTACACTATCGTGTTATTCAAAATCAAATACATGTTGATAAAGAACGTCATTATATCTTAGTACTTTATAATTAGTTCTATTGCTACCTTTTCCCCCAAAGAGCAAAAGAAACAACAGAGAAAACCCTTTTTTAAACACCAAATGACTAGATCCAAATTAATGTAGGTAAGTGTGAAGGGTTGAAGAGGGTGTGAAGGAAAAGCCAGGAAGAAACGAAGTTAGTGTTCCGAGTTCAGCAAACGATTAAATTATTCTTTATTAAAATAGTGTTTGCCTTACATTTATTTGTTTCAGATCTTACATAAGACATAAGTATAAGTAACCTTTGCTTAAATAAAAATCATATTTTATTAAATCTGTTATACCAGCGTCATTGAGAAAGTGTTAAAATGGTCTGATGTTGCATGAGAATTAATGCACGGTGCTATAAATATAAATTATCATAGTCCCAGCTTAACGTTCATATATTTTACATTGTGTTTAACAAAAGAAAATATATGTCAACTATAGCTTCCTACAATATTGCATTAATAAATCCAAATAGTTCAATAATGTCAACAACAGAAAAAAATATCAAGTCATGGAAGAACTAACGTTGATCTCAAAACAACCTAAATCTTTCACACCATTAGGACTAGAGCAGAAAAAAAAATATTTGACCATATCATAATCTTCTAATTTTCTCCTAGGTTTTTCAGCCGACTTACCAATTCCAGGTTAGTTTATAGAGGCGTATTTTTACCAAATAAAATTTAAGTAGAACAGAAGAAAAATACTAAAATGAAATTATGATATTAAGTTTTTTCGAAGAATCTCTGAGTCAGCTCCATTTCAACCACGTCCTGTCTTATTCGTAAAGTGATTAGTTAACGGCTAAGCATATCATTAACGAGAAGATAACATCACGTACATATATCACTTCACCTTATGTAGCACAATATTAACTGCTATCAACACGAGAAATATCATCAGGTTCGAATTATACTTAATAAGTCAAAACTATTCTCACTGTTTTCCATATGTTTTCAGCTTTCTTGCTTACTTTAAATCGTATTTTCTTTCTTCGAAGCGCCACGACATCAGGAAACATTAGAAACCTGTGTGTTGTTTACCTACTAGCGTATAGCTCGTGGCAATTACTACCACCCCACCTCATATTTATGGGAGAGTTGTGAGCTTCATGGTAATAGAAGGTATACTATCATGGTAACCATGTGTCGCAGAGAAGTCTGAGGTTGTGAGGAGTCAACAGGTAAACTCCAGTAACTTTTCATTCTTCAACACCAAGGGCAGAGATTTGACACTCATATGAACATTCTGTCCCTGCACCAGCCCATTCTACTTCACTCCCGATGTTTAAGATGTCTCATTCTCATGTTGGACAAGAGTCTATGGGTGAAAGGCTTACACCTAAACCATAGGTAGCTGCAATAAAGTCTAAGCAAACCACACCCAGATATTTAAATACTGTGTAGAACATTATATTTTATAAGCTATTTCAAGTATTTGATATTATAAAGAACTGGAGTTAGGTGCTGCTACAGGACTGAAGCACAGCTGCTGCTGAGTGACATTGACTTGTCAGCCTGGAGGAATGTTGAACTGTCCATCAGGCTAAGTTCAAAAGTCAAAAAAGGAGACCCTCTGAGAACATGGATACCTAATCAGAAGATCTTCACTGATTGTATGGTAAGATACACATTATAATGGCTTCAGCAAATCGCAAAGATAGTCTTGTAATCATTGAGGCATCATTTGGGTGTGATAGATATTTTCACTCTAATGGACGCATTCTTTGTAGTGATGAGGTTTAAAGTTGTGACTTCATACAACTTACAAGGGAGAAAAAACCTGCATTGACTGTATTTCACACACATCACTCTATTCAGGTGACCTGATGTTGAGTTTTAGCTTTGCTGAGAGCGAACCAGCACTTAAACATTCCATCCCTGCAACATAACCAAACTGGTTCACAGTCAATAGGCAGAGCTTCCTTATTAATCCCATGATGTCTGTAATGCAGCCAATGCCAATTATATCTCCATATTTTTCTTGCTTCAGAAGGGAAGACCAAAACATTGGCTTTCAGTGTGACTTGCAGTGTCACTTCAAAATGAAATGTCTGCATCTTGCCATGCAGCAAGATGTATGGAGATGACTAGTATCAACCAAATGAATGGGAGATATAGGAAGGTCGTAAACAAGCTGTAACTACTGCTACTTCTGCTGTAGAAAACTAAAAGAGCCCGAGAGAGGTGTGGCCAGACCCTTGAAGAGGTGCAGTATACAACTTGTGCTGAAGGGTCTGGTAGTCAACCAAGCTATTACAGGGCTGGGTGGCACTAGGTATATGTCCATAAAAGTTACAAATTTGACAGCTGGAGCTTCAGGTTGATACAGGAGCTACCAGAACACTGGTTGATCTTGCTGTGTATCTGGCATACTGAGTGAAGCTACCACTCTATTCAGTTAATACTGAATGCATTCTGGCAAAAGACAATAGACTAAATGTAACTCGAGAGGCACGTATCCAAATATGTCTTGGTAACATCGACCACAGAATGAATGTTGTCATCACCGATCTATGTATTGCCATTGACAAGCTTTGGATGAAGTTACCGTGGAGAGTATTGATCAATTTCATGTGTGAAGCAGGTAAGTTGAATTTCTATGGGGAAAACATCCCATGTTAGCAGGACCAAGCCCAGGAACAGGGGAGGGTACAAGTTTACAATGTAGAGGGAGTAACAGGACTTTTGTGTACACAAGTGTTGTTCTGTGGTTTACTACAGACTATATCACGTAACATGGTTATAGATCAATTGCAAGAAATACACTGTTTCCTGTCCAGAAAGTAGGCAGCATTTACTTGGGCAGTGATCTTCTTGAGAACGAACGAAATCCCAGTGTTATAGTGTGATTATGGATAGTTGGTTATCCAGCTTTTACTATTATGTTCATCAGAATGAGGCAAAGTGAAGGTAACCAAAAAATAGCTGTATTGCTAGTGTTATCTTCATTGTACCGCATCTGAAAGCAAGTACTTGGATGTTGACACATCTGAGTTTGCTGGATGAGGCTTTTACATTTCTCTTCATTAAATACAGTGACAAAGTCTCATTGATCTGTTGTTTAAGTAAACCAATGTATTTATGGGACATGGGTAGACAAAATAATTGACAATTACACACATACAGATTACACATGTACAGTTTAAAAAAAAAAACATTGTGCAGGCTTCCCTGGAGCACTATTTATATAGCTAGCACTCAAATACAGTGAATGTAAACGGTTGGATTTAATACAGCCTTCAGAGAATGCATAGTTGTCTCCAGTAGTGATTGTCAAGAAGAAAAAATTTACACTAAGGTTCTAAGTTGAATTCAGATTGGTAATATATACTGATGTCTTCCCACTCCCACAGATGGAAGAATCTCTGGATGAATTGAAAGGGTCCCAATAATTCAATACATTAGACCTGACATCTAGATAATGACAAGTCAAACTGAACGGCTAATGTAATCTCAAAATTGCTTTTACAAATCAAGATAACTTATAGGAGTATGAATGATCGACACTTGTGTAATGTTTAAAGTCAAATAAATAATTGAAATACAATATTTCATATTTACACACTTAAGATATGTTATTTAAAACCATTAACAGCTTCCTCTTAGAAATAATCTACATGTTACATGAAGATATAGTGTACCTGATATTTACAATAATGCTGGTGAGAGAATGATTCATTTTCAACATTGAACCTTTTAACAGGCAGTGGATTTTCGTGGATTTGTTTTAGAATTAAGCACAAAGTTACACAATGGGCTATCTGTGCTCTGCCCACCACGGGTATCGAAACCCGGTTTCTAGCGTTGTAAGTCCGCAGACATACCGCTCTGCCACTGGGGGGCGATTTTCATGGAAAAGATGAGAGAAGTTTTGTTCAAGTAGAAACTTTTAGCTCATGCCTCCGTCATCTCTTGGCCGATTTGAGATCTAATTACAATTTTAGAATGAGGAAGTAAACCCTTTCGATTGATGCATTTTACCACGCTCAAAGTCTCATACATTAATTTATTCTAATCCTGCCTAAAAGCATTTCAATTTGAGGGTAGGCTGGTACAGATCCTTATGAGTAATAAAATCGAATCGGGTACACCATCGCCCCACGCTCGGTATTGGTGGCGCACAAAAATATGGGTAATAAAAAGGGAACAATTGTTTGTTTGTTTTGAAGTTAAGTACAAAGCTACACAGTGGGCTATTTGTGCTCTGGACACCACGGGTATCGAAACCGCTGTGCTACTGGGGGACAAAGGTCTCATAGATAAATTTACTCTAATCCCGCCTAAAAGAATTTCAAGTGCCGCGGCTATTGAGGATCCCCTCTTGTTTTATTCTAAAATTATTAATTTTGCATTTTTACATATATATATATATATCGTTGTGATTTTAAAAAGTTTTATTTGTTATTGTTCATGTATATTTTCACTTTATAATGGTTTCATCATGTGAATTACTATTATTGTGTTATTATGATGATACCATTGTGTTTTGTTTTGTGAATGGTGTTTCAATTCTGTAATTTGTTCTTTTGCTTTTATTTGGTTTCTTTCTTTCCTGTATAATTTCAGTTTTGATGTAATACTACATTGTATTTCATTTCAATTTTATGTTGTAGCTATCTTTGAGTGTATTGTGTTTTGTATGTACCCTGAAGAATTTGGTTATATGTTATTTTACTGTAAATTTTTAATTCCTATTTTAATTATCGGTATTTTGGTGTAAGTGTTTGAACGGTTGAGATTATGTTACATTGATTTCTTGACTCATACATGAGGTATTTGGATTGGTTTTTAAGGCTTACCATGTGTTTTGTGCTCTCTTAATTAATTAATATATAACG